TGTTATGTGTGTTTGCTGATATGTGCCTGAATGGCTGGCCTTTCACCTCATGCTGCCCACAGATGGGCATTGCTGAGATGCCTGCCCCAGAGCACATGCATCCCTGGAATTTCTATGGGGGCCTCTGGTCAGAGGAGGTCACCTCCAATGTGCACAAGGAGACATTTGGAGAAGCAACAGGCGTGACCCACCACTGATGGATGGTGGGAAAGCACCAACTCCCTCTCTTGTTATCTGGTTTGGCATCGAAAAGACAACACTGGTTATGACTCTGGACCAGCAACATCTCAGCAATCAAAGGTTGCCAATGGAAACGGAGGTTCATACCTCACCACATGGCCCCGCTTTGATGTAGGATAGAATATCTGCATACTGCCCCTTCCTCGTCATTAGGACGTCACCCCCCTCTTGGGCCTATAGCCATAGAATAGAGGACGGACCCTGAAGGTTTATGGCAGGCAAGGCCATGCCCAGAACATAGCTGATAAAAGGAGAAACAGCCATTGTTTCTCTCTCTCTCTCTCTTCTTCTTCTTCTGGTCAACACCCCCCCCCTCCCCTACCTTGCAGCTTAAGTGCTGTGGGTGAGTTTTAGAACCCGCACGTGGCTTGGCTAGTCGGGCGCGTGTGCTTTTAGGGTTCACCCGCTGATCCTTAACCTGCCCCCTGTTCCGCTACGAGGAGATTTCTTCTCAGCTGGACCTCAGATAAGTATGACTGCACCCCTGTAAAGTCATCCCCCTTATTTGATGCTTTTGTTATTTTCCATGCTTTAATTGTTTCTATATTCTATTGTAACTAAGGAGCTTGTGCGAATCTTGTATGTATCTGTTTTGTATGTCTGAAGAAACTGCTTTAGTAAAAAGGCAACATTTATTCATAAACCTAGTGTGTTGTCTGACTTCCTGAAATAGCGAGCTTTCAGACGCCAATCCGACCTCTGGATACACGGGTTAGAACTCACGCACCGCCCGCCTCTGTAAACAGGGTTGATCCAGGCTCCCGGAACCGTCTTTGGACCGGTTCGGGTAACACAAGGCACTCAGTAGCTGCCTGTTGCCTGCAGCATCAGCTATGGCCTTGGCTCTGCATTACTGAGCATACCAACTTCCCACCCAATCCTGCCGCAAGCTGCCAGCTCCCACCACAGCCCAGTAGGCCTTTGGGAGTAATAACCATTTTACAATTGCCATCACAGCAACAGCATGACACTGTTTCCAGCCTAAACCTGGAAGTGAAGTCATGGCGCTCTAGGACTCAGCCACTATCTTAAAGACATGCGATGTCACTTCCTGCTTTGACCTAGAAATAACATCACACCATCACCGTGACAATGCCCCCAAGCCCTCTCCTCCTATTCTTCTGCTGGTTGCCAGTCATCAACAGCACCCCTATACCAATAAATCCCATCTCTTCTCTGCCCTCCTTTGGCCAGAGACTCCTGTCACACACGTGCTATAAGTGGCAAAACTTCGGAAAGAGTCAAGACACGGTTTTAAGTGCGTTTCTGGAGAAACCCGGAAATGGTAGCTTGACGAAACTTCCAAGAGAACTACAGTTGTCAGCACTTCCCCAGGGAAGGGAATAATCAGTTTTATAGATCAGCCTCTCTCTGTCTTGAACATGGGCAACTAAATGTTGCTAACTGCTTTACTGTGAAAAGCTTCTGTTTCCTATTTCTACACATTGGAGCCTCAGTGAAAGGGACCCAACATTTTCCTCCAGGCCTTTGTTACTTCATTGTTCTGGGACCATCTTTACCAGAACCACATCTTTCTATTAAGGACTTTTGTGACAACCAGAGCACCTGCACTTTATTGCACTGTATAATATGATTGTTTTATTCTGTTTTTAACTGTATTACTCTTGGCATGCGTGCCTCGTCTGTTAGCCGCCCTGAGCCCATTGGGGAGGGCGGGTTATAAATCCAATAAATAAATAGGCAGCTCCATTGAGTGCAGAAAGTGAAGAGAACCTAAAGAGCCTCTTGCTCTGTGTGAAAGAGGAGAGCGCAAAAGTGGGCTTGAAGCTCAACATCAAAAAAACTAAGATCATGGCATCCGGCCCGATCATTCCTTGGCAAATAGAAAGGGAAGTCATGGAAGTAGTGACAGACTTCAAGTTCCTGGGATCCCAGATCACCGCAGACTGTGACAGCAGCCATGAAATTAAAAGACGCCTTCTCCTTGGGAGGAAAGTGATGGCGAACCTAAACAGCATGATAAAAAGTAGAGACATCACCCTGCCAACAAAAGTCCGCATGGTCAAAGCAATGGTATTCCCAGTAGTCATGTATGGCTGCAAGAGTTGGACTATAAGGAAGGCCGAGCGCCGAAGAATAGATTCTTTTGAACTATGGTGCTGGAGAAGACTCTTGAGAGTCCCTTGGACTGCAAGAAGATCAAATCAGTCAATCCTAAAAGAAATCAACCCTGACTGTTCCCTGGAAGGCCAAATAATGAAACTGAAGCTCAAATACTTTGGCCACCAAATGAGAAGGGAGCACTCACTGGAGAAGACCCTGATGCTGGGAAAGATTGAAGGTCAAAGAAGACTGGGACAGATAAGAACATAAGAACATAAGAGACGCCAATGTTGGATCAGGCCAAAGGCCCATCCAGTCCAACACTCTGTGTCACACAGTGGCCAGAAATACCAGTGCCATCAGGAGGTCCAGCAGTGGGGCCAGGACATTAGAAGCCCTCCCACTGTTGACCCCCCCCCCAAGCACCAAGAAGACAGAGCATCACTTGCCCCAGAGCCCCTAGCTATACCTTGTGGCTAATAGCCACTGATGGACCTCTGCTCCATATGCTTATCTAATTCCCTTTTGAAGCCGTCCATGCTTGTAGCACCCACCACTTCCTGTGGCAGTGAATTCCATGTGTTAATCACTCTTTGGGTGAAGAAGTACTTCCTTTTATCCGTTCTAACCCGACCGCTCTGCAGTTTCATGGAGTGCCCACGAGTTCTTGTATTGTGAGAAAGGGAGAAAAGTACCTCTTTCTTTACCTGCTCTTTCCCATGCATAATCTTATAAACCTCGATCATGTCACCCCTCAGTCGTCTTTTCTCCAAGCTAAAGAGCCCTAAGCGCTTTAACCTTTCCTCATAGGGAAAGTGTTCCAACCCTTTTATCATTCGAGTTGCCCTTTTCTGCACTTTTTCCAAAGCTATAATATCCTTTTTAAGGTGTGGTGCCCAGAACTGCACACAGTATTCCAAATGAGGTCTCACCATTGATTTATATAGGGGCATTATTATATTGGCTGATCTGTTTTCAATACCCTTCCTAATAATCCCCAGCATAGCATTGGCCTTCTTTATTGCAGTCACACACTGTCTCGACATTTTCAGTGAGTTATCCACTACAACTCCAAGATCTCTCTCTTGCTCAGTCTCTGCCAGTTCAGACCCCATCAATGTGTATTTATATTTAGGATTTTTGGCTCCAATGTGCATCACCTTGCACTTGGCCACATTGAACCCCATTTGCCATGTTGACGCCCACTCGCCCATCCTTGACAGATCCCCTTGGAGTGCCTCACAATCCTCACTGGTTTTCACCACCCTGAACAACTTTGTATCATCCGCAAATTTAGCCACTTCACTGCTTACTCCCATCTCCAAATCATTAATGAACAAGTTAAAAAGCAGTGGACCAAGTACTGATCCCTGCGGTACCCCACTGCTTACCACCCTCCACTGAGAAAATTGCCCACCTACACTCACTCTCTGTTTTCTATGAACTAGCCAGTTTTTGATCCATAAAAGGACTTGTCCTTCTATCCCATGATTTTTGAGCTTACTTAGGAGCCTTTGATGAGGAACTTTATCAAAAGCTTTCTGGAAGTCAAGGTAAATAATATCTATTGGATCCCCCTTGTCCACATGTTTGTTCACCCCCTCAAAGAACACTAACAGGTTAGTGAGACAAGATCTTCCCTTACAGAAACCGTGCTGAGTCTGCCTCAATAGGTTTTGTTCATCTATGTGCCTACTAATTCTTTCCTTAATAATGGTTTCCACCAATTTACCCGGTATCGACGTCAGACTGACTGGCCTGTAATTTCCCGGATCTCCTCTGGAACCCTTTTTAAAGATGGGAGTGACATTAGCTACCTTCCAATCCTCAGGAATGGAGGCAGATTTTAAGGAAAGATTACATATCTTTGTCAGGAGATCTACAAGTTCACATTGGAGTTATTTCAGAACTCTCGGATGTATGCCATTTGGGCCTGGTGATTTTTCAGTTTTTAAGTTGTCTATCAGTTTTAGGACCTCCTCTCTCGTCACCTCAATCTGACTCAGGTCTTTCAACACCCCTCCTGAAATCAGCGGTTCTGGAGTGGGCAAGCACTTCTCATCTTCCACAGTGAAGACGGAGGAAAAAAATGCATTTAGCTTCTCAGCCATTTCCCCATCATCCTTCAAAGGATGAGATGGCAAAGGATGAGGTGGTTAGACAGTGCCATAGATGCAACGAACATGAAATTGAGCAAACTTCAGAGGACAGTGGAAGACCGGAAGGCCTGGCATGAACTGGTCCATGGGGTCGCGGACTGGACTGTGAGACTGAACAACAATAAATCGAGTGCATTAATTATCCTAATGAATAACTAAGCAAGAAGTCCGAATGCGGTGCTTGTGAACGGTGACAGATGGCCTTTTGTTATGCATTGGTGACATCATGAGGCAGAACAAAGGTTGAGTCCAGTGGGACCTTTAAGACCAACAAAGTTTTATTCCGGGTATGAGATTCCGTGCGCATGTGGGTCTTAAAGGTCCCACTGACTCCAACTTTGCTTTGCCGTTTCAGGCCAACACGGCCACCCCACCTGAATCTATCAACATCAAATCAGACAGTTCCCGACCTAGAGCCTCATCCTTGTTCACGGGAACGGGCTCCCGACCCCTCCCTCCTCGTCCCTCGCCTCGAGGCGTGGCTTTCTCCGAGTCCGACCTCCGCGCGGAACCAAAGAGAAACGAAAGTGAAAGCGGCCTCCTTCGTCTCCGACAGCGGGCAGCCCCGAGCAGCCATGGCCGAGGCCTTCCACCCAGACTTGACGTGCTCCGTCTGCCTGGAGCTCTTCACCGAGCCGGTGCTGCTCGCCTGCGGCCACTGCTTCTGCCAGGCCTGCATCGCCTCCTCCTGGCAGAGCCAAGCGGGAGCGGCCAGTTGCCCTGACTGCAGGGCGCCTTGTCCCGGCGGGAAGTACACGCCGAGTCGGCTGCTGAGGAGCTTAGCCCAGAGAGCCCGGCAGGCACAGCGGGAGGCAGAAGGCAGCGGCAGCGCCGGGCGGGAGGCGGAGCAGGAGGCAGGCGAAGGGGGAGAGGAGGAGGACGGGAGGCGCTGCTGCGAGGCGCACGGCGACAGCCTGGGGCTCTTCTGCCTCGCCGACGAGGCTCCCGTCTGTTACCGCTGTGTCGGCTCGCCTGCCCACGCCGGGCACAGCTTCAGCTCCTTGCAGGACGGGGCTCGGAAATGCAAGGTGAGTCGCCAGCCAAGCGCTCCTGGCGAAGGGGGGCGGCAGGCTGCCTCCGTCAGCCTCCTCTCACCAGCTCTTCTTCTTTGCCCAGGAGAAGCTGGCCCAGTGGTTGGAGTCGCTGGAGGCCCGGGTTGAGACGCTAGAAGGGCGCGAACGCTGCCAGGAGGGACACGTGGTTTCCTTGAGAGTAAGGCTTCTTCGTGATCGCGGGTGTTAACTGTCTGGGGATCCCTTGTGGAAGGGCCTCTGGCTTTTCCTGGGTGAGGTTTGAACTTGAGTCCAGTGGCACCTTTAAGACCAACAAAGTTTTACTCAAAGTATACGCTTTCATGTCCTTTTGTTCTGAACAGTCGCACAGTCCAGTCCGACTCTTCGCGACCCCATGGACAAGATCTGGCCAGGCCCTCCTGTTTTCCGCCGTCCTTATACCCGGCTTAAAGCTTATACCCAGAATAAAACTCGGTTGGTCATAAAGGTGCCACTGGACCCAAACTTTGTTCTGCTGCTTCTGACCAGAAGGGCTACCCCACCTGAAAATAGATTTGAACGCAACAGAATTACATTCCACCCTGAGTGCTTCCTGCATGTCTCAGCCCCTTGAACCTGCTGTTTGTTGCCTGGTTCTTTGTTTTGTTCTTGCCACACCTACAGAAATCCTTCGCCAAGGGAGACTGTGCTCCCAGCATCTGAGGAAGCAAGCTTTAGTTCCCAGCAGCTTAGGCTGGAATAAAATTGTTGCCCATGCTTTTTGGTCATTGCTTTGCCACTACAGTTAATTATCTGAAGAAGTGTGCTTGCACGTGAAAGCTTATACCTTGAATAAAAATGTGTTGGTCTTAAAGGTGCCACTGGACTCCAACTTTGTTCTATCGAAGTATGTACCTGAACAGGGAAAAACCGAGGCTTTGAAAAACTTTTAAAGCCAGTGTGTAACCTGAGTTTGTGGGTTCTATGGGGCAGAACTTGGAAGGAGTCTTGCAATAATTCAAAGGCAATAAATATTTTTACTTTTCACTTAACATCATGTAACAGAAACATAGACCTTAGTAACATAACACAACAATGATCTTTTAAAGTTCAAGCAATTTACTTTTCCCTCCTTCACAGCTTGCCACCCCCCAGTCCATCTCTTGTAAAGGTAAAGGTTCCCTTGCAGTCGATCTCTTGTCTCTTGTAGCTGGCCCAAAAAGTTTCCAGCTGGACCCTCCCATGCACTGGATTCCAAGATGAGAGTCTCAAAGGAACTCCCCATTAGATAACACAGCCCTGAAACAATAATTCTAAAATTACAAAAGTTTCCCTCCCTTACCAGTTTCCATATGCAAATCAGAGTTACCTTAAACAAGGTGTTAAGAGCCTATGGTGAAGGTTCCAGCACCCCAGCAGGGCAGTCTGGCTTCCCTCCTCTGCTTTCCACACATTCTGCACCCCTCTAGAGGCTCCACCCCTTCCTGGCTCATTCCATTCCTAGCTAGGGCCATTACTAGCTGCTCTTTCCCCTCCAATCTCCCCAGCTAAAATACTGTCATCATCTCAACAATATCTACAAATTTAGCACTAATGGAATAATGAAACGGTAAACAATTAGATATTACCGTGTTGAAATTTACTCTGGTTGACCCCACTAAAAAGCTCAGAACACGTGGGCTTAGTTCTAACTCTTTTGGGCCTAGGAGGTAGACCATTAATTTCCCCAGGAATCATTGTACTGGGAGGAACCACAGCTAATAACTCTGGTAGCACCGTTGTTGTTTTTTCTTTTCCTTGCTCTTTCTTGCAAAGATTTTAAGCTACCTTAACCCTTTCGGAAGAGGAGTTTGGGGTGAATTCCCTTGCTAAGGGATTGAGGTCTGAAAGGAGCCTAGAGTCTAATGTGATTTCTGCCTCATCCCACTGGTAGTGGGGTCCTTTGGAATGTCCATATCATGCATGTCTTCAAAGGAGGAAATAAATCCACAGGGTCTCAGCGTATCTTGGTGCAAAGCTCAAACAACACCTTTGCGATCTTCCAATTACACCCTATATATTGAAATATTTTCCTCAGGTTGATCCAGAACTATATGTACAACCGGTTCACACCTATCAGCTAATTTTAGCATGCCGCCGGGGGGGGGGGGGGGGGGGGGCTTAGATTACATACTAGAACTCTGTCACCTGTCGAAATGATCAATTTCACGACTTTAGCATCCCATCTTCTTCTGTTGGCTTGCTGGCAGTGTTCCCTCTAAGCTGAGTTAGTGTGAGCTAGCTCATATTTTTTTAGCCTCCAGCTCACACATTTTTGTCATAGCTCAGGAAGGGATGGCTCCAGAGCAAACTAATTTATGCAGCAGCCAAATCAGCTGCTCACAACTTTAATGCCAGTAGCTCAGAAAGTAGAATTTTGGCTCACAAGACTCCGCAGCTTAGAGGGAACATTGCTTGCTGGTGCTTTTCACTTTCTTGGGTGGCCAGATCATATGCATAACAAAGCCTGCATTTTAAGTCTCTTACATATTCCTGATGAGTCACTTCAGTTTGCCCCTTTGGCTTTGTCCAAAGTCTGCATGAGTAGAATAAAATTCAAGTCCAGTAGCACCTTGAAGACCAGCAACATTTCCATGGTATAAGTTTTCGGGAGTCAAAGCTCCCTTCATCAGATATCTGTGAGGATAAAACGGAGAAGGAAAATGTGCTAAGCCATTTAGGTTCCCATTGTGGGGTATAATTGAAGTAAAACAAATAAACTTATCCTTCTTTTGAACCATGAGATATTGGAGAGTGTGAAAATATAAATCCATTTGTCAAGAACAATATCAGATGCTGAGCAGAGCTGTACCCCAAGGCAAGAGCTCTAGGGGGTCAGATTAGGGCTGTGAGCGCCTTCAGCCAGTGACAGTGATCTTGGGCACATCACTCCCTCGCAGATGACCTACCACACAGGCAGATAAAATGAAGGAGAGACCTCCGTATTGTGCCCTGAGCTCTGTGGAAGGAGAACAGGATAAAAACATGCTAGATACACACACACCTCTCACTGGCCTGTTCCAGGACTCAGCTGCATCATTGCGTGTGAATATTGAGGCCAGGTTCTCTGAACTGCAGCAGTTTCTGAACCAGAGGAAAGATGTGATGCTGGCCCAACTAGAGAAGGAGGAAAAGGATGCCCACAATGACATGGAGACCCGTTTGCACCAGATCCAAGAAGGGCTCAATTATGCCATGGATTTGAGGAGCCAGGGAAGGGTTCTAATGGAAAGAAAGAACCCAGCTGCGTTCCTTCTGGTAAGGCTTTGACAGGTCATTGACAGGTCTGAAGAAAGAATTCAAAGATGGAGGGCCATCTTTGGGAAAGGAGTTGAATGCGGCTGATGATAGCTTGCCTAGGGACAAGGATTCAGATTCCACAGTTCCCAGGGTTAGAGGAAAAACGAAGGCCTTGTTCTGTTCTCCCCGTGGTAGTAAACCTCAGACAGCAAGTGCAGAGGCTCAGATGATGATAATTAATCTCTGCACATAGAAGGTTACCCTTTCAGAAAGAAAGGTAGGCTAAATCCCTTCTTGACATCCAGTTTGTTAAATTCAGGATTATTTTATATGAAGAAACATTAACAATTTAAGCCCCACAACCCTTTCAGTCTGAGCTTGTCACCACCTCTCAGCCAAACCTACCCTCACACACAGTGGTGGTCGTGAGGATTAAGGGGAGGGGACCGTGTGAAAAGCTGCTTTGAGTCCTCAATCAGGACGAAAAGTGGGACGGGGTGTGTATGTGTGTATCAATACAACTCAGACTTCAGTTTACTATGATTAAGGATTCTAGGAGATAAGTAGGTCTAATGGCCGTATGTGGCATAGAGAAGACCTGTGGTCTTTGGGAGGAGAATTGAGTCTTATTTCAGGGAACAAATAGAAGGTTGGGTTCTTGAACTCTGCAGAGAAAGACTAGTAAAGAGCCTAGAGCCGGTGTTGGGGTGCAGAATGAGACTTGATGGGTTTAAGGAAGGAAGAGTTCGGGTGGGGTCTGGTGAGTGGGAAGAGCCCAACTGGATGAGACCAGTGGTCCATCTACTCCAGCATCCTGTTTCGCACAGTGGCCAACCAGTTGCCCTGGAGGGCAAACAAGGAGAGCAGAGAGGCTGAGGCCTTCCCTGATGCTGGTATTTAGTGGTTTGCTGCTCCATATTACTCGTGGCTAGTAGCCGTTCATGGACTTATTGTCAGGGATAGAAAGGATCCTCAAGGATCAGAAGGGATGCAGCTGGGAAAGAAGGTGATGTAGATCCTTTAGACAGCAAGAGAGAATGTATCTGGTTTTGGAGGGGACCTGGCTTATTTAATTCTTACTCTTTTTCTCCAGGATATCCAGCCTTTCCTGCATACGTAAGTACAGAAGTTATATTATTTTCACATCTGCCCCCCCTTGGAGTCCCTTGGACCAAATATACATCTACAGCAGGTTAAGGTGATAGAAATTTCAAGCTCAGGTGGTGGGACTGTACCACTTCAGGCTAGTTGGGGGAGGAATCATATATTTGCTGCCATACATTAAAACAGTTTCCCTGCAAACAGAAAGCTAGTAAATCAGGAAAGGAGGTTTTGAGGATAAGGTAAAGGTAAAGGTTCCCTTGCTCGAAAGCCAGTCGAGTCCGACTCTAGGGTTGCGGTGCTCATCTCTGTTTCAAAGCCGAAGAGCCAGCGCTGTCCAAAGACGTTTCCGTGATCATGTGGCCGGCATGACTAAACACCAAGGCGCACGGAATGCTGTTAGCCAATGCCTTTTGCCTGTGAGGCTCGATTTCTGTTTGCAGGCGCTTTTATGATAGGGCAGCACTAAAAAATGTCGCCCTCCCGACCTGTAGCCTGAAGCTGTGTGGCTGATTGTATCACCTCATGATAGAAATGGGCAAAGGTTCCATTTTCACCCTTTTGGTATCTGTATTTTCTATCTTCCACTTCTCCGTTTTGGCCAATTTTGATGTGTCATAATTTTCACCAGAGAATTATTTCCTATTTAAAAAATTAATAGCAGAGAAATACATTTATTATAGTATCTAGTATGCAGAAACATGCCCTGACCTGGATAGCCCAGGCTAGCCCAATCTCATCAGATTTCAGAAGCTGAGCAAGGTCAGCCCTGGCTACTACTTGGATGGGAGACTGCCAAGGAATACCAGGGTAGTGATGCAGAGGGAGGCAGGCCAGGGCAAACCACCTGTGATCATCTCTTGCCCATTTCCATTTCATTTATTAGCTTCATTGACCCGAGGTCTTAAGCCAAAGATCATCTCTTGCCTTGAAAACCCCACACGGTCATCCTAAGTCAGCCGTGACTTGACAGCACTTTTCAACATTGATAACACTATGTTTGATCATGCAACTAAAGTATGATTTAAAATATGTACATATATTAGGGTTATCCTCTTCCTAGTGGTGCCTTGAGTTCTCCCAGAACTGGAACTGATCTGCAGACTACAGAAACCAGGTAGCGGAAATGAAAGCGTTGTAGAGTCAACCCTGTGGCATCACATCCCTGCTGGACTCTCTCTCCACCCCGACCTCTGCCTTTCTTAGGCGCAGTTTCCAAATCTCCAGAAATTTTCCAAGCCAGAGTTGGCAAGCTAACCTGGAAAGGCCAGTTCACACATTACAAGGTCCTTGTGGTAACTGTGAGGACTTTTGAACAGATGTATGCTGGGAGTTCCGTATGCTGGGAGTATATCATTTATTCCATCCCTTTTAGAATTGATGTGGGACAAAACTACCAATTTAAGCACAACTCGCTGTCAGGGGGAAAAAATGAACAACGTCCTTACCTCAGGTCTCCGGTAAGAACATAAGAGACGCCAATGTTGGAGCAGGCCAAAGGCCCATCCTGTCCAACATTCTGTGTCACACAGTGGCTAGAAATACCAGTGCCATCAGGAGGTCCACCAGTGTGGCCAGGACATTAGAAGCCCTCCCACTGTTGCCCCCCCCCCCCAAGCACCAAGAAGACAGAGCATCACTTGCCCCAGAGCCCCTATCTATACCTTGTGGCTAATAGCCACTGATGGACCTCTGCTCCATATGCTTATATGTGCCTCATTCTGCTGACTAGGATTCACACACTGTGACTTTTGATTCCTCTCTACCAGAATGACAGAAGGGAATGAAGACCTTAAGGACTCTTTTGCTGTTCTCTGCAAAGAACTCTGCCTGGGGAGATTCAAGGGCCCGATCCAGCACCTGGCATGTGCAGCTCTGTACTCAGCCTTCAAACTAGGTATTTAATGGGGGAGAATCTGTCTATGTTATGTTTATCCCAGCCTTCCTCCAGGAATAGTATGGTTCTGTCTTCATTTTCTCTTCAAAATAATCCTCTCCCCGTTCAACATATTACAGTGAACACACGAACGACCTGGAGTTATGCGCTTACACTTCTTTGGAAGAAAGATCCAGTCTGTTTTCAATTTACGAATGAAACGGGGGACTAGTATCTAAACATATATGGGGTTACAGTAGCATGTTCAGCTGTTAAACATGCGTATAAAGAAGAACCAAGTGTACACTGTGCATGCAATCGCTGCAACTTGTGAATAGGACTACTGTGAGGTAGATTAAACTGAGAGACTAAGAAACTGGGTGCCAAAGGTGAGCTTTGTGACTGGGTAGGCCTTTGAACTGGAAGACCAGTTCACGCATTACAATGCCCTTGTGGTAACTGAGGGCTTTTGAAGAGATGTATGCTGGGAGTTCCATTTCTCCCAGATGTATACAAACCTGATTTCTGACTGCAGCATGCAGTGAGCGGGGGAGTAAGCTTCCTGGCCCCGTGCCATTGCCCTCACCTGAAACACCCTGAGGGAGCAGCTGTTGGCCTTGTTGAAGAGAATTGCATGTACTGGTAGGTACACAGAGGTTTCATCATTGGGGTAAATCGACACAGATAAACACTTGATTGTTCCCTCCAGTGAAGGCTGTGGACATTCATTATCGGAGGAGGAGGAGGACACTCCCGCCATGTTTTCAAGCATAGCACTGTCCTGTATCCTCCCAGGAGAGAATGGCTGCTGTTCAGCGCTCCTGATCAGTGATTCACTCACAGGGAACAAAGGGAAAGGGCCTCTTCCTGGGATTAAACCTTTGGCCTTTATGATCAGTGGAAGGACATGGTGGTTTTGCTATCTCCGCCTGAACCCTTTGTCCTCTGAAACTGAATGGGAGTGTCAGATCAGGTTGAATGCCTTTCATGCTGCAGGCTAGCCTGTGGTGGGACCTGGGAAGTGACTTAGACAAGGGTGCTTAAGGTGTTACCCAGCACCTTTCCTGGTGCCCACCAAGTGTTTTTATAAATTGGGTGGAGCCAAGTGGGCCTCTTGCCTAGCAGGGGTTCTGATAGGACTTTTGAGATCCAGTTGGCTGTGCAGGTTAAAATAATGTTGTCTCAGTGGAAGATTTCACCAGAGAGTTAGTTTTATTCTCTCACTTCTCTTTCCCAGTGCATTTTTTTTCAGTCACCCCTCTTCTCCCCCATTGTTGGGCTTCCAGAGTAGGAGGACACTCCCGCCATGTTTTCAAGCATAGCACTGTACTGTATCCTCCCAGGAGAGAATGGCAGTGCTATCCAGCAACTTTCCTGGAGCCCACCAAGTGTTTTTATAAATTGGGTGGAGCCAAGTGGGCCTCTTGCCTAGCAGGGGTTCTGATAGGACTTTTGAGATCCAGTTGGCTGTGCAGGTTAAAATAATGTTGTCTCAGTGGAAGATTTCACCAGAGAGTTAGTTTTATTCTCTCACTTCTCTTTCCCAGTGTATTTTTTTCAGTTACCCCTCTTCTCCCCCATTGTTGGGCTTCCTCTGTGTATGTGGCTCCAATAGGGATGACAGATTCCCCCTGCCCTGAGGGAAGGCAGAGGTCCCCTGCTTTTGGGTCCCACCTCTCCACCGGCGGCCAGCTGGCCAGCAGGGGGGAATTAGCCCCCCAAACAGGGAAGAACATGGAAATTAAATGCAATGGACCTATGTGAACCGTAAGTGACATAGGCACGTTGGGGGTCCACACTCTGGTTTTTGGGCAAAATCCTATGATAGATGCTAATTCTGCCATAGAGTTTTGCCCAGAAACCAGAGTGTCGCCCCCTGGCGTGCCTATGTCACTTCCAGCTCA